CGCCATGTGGTCACCTCCAAGGCAGGCGGGAATTGAACTCATGCGGAAGCGGCTCTAGATTCTCAGTGCTATGCTTTAACCCGCTGCGCCACCAGGGAAGGCCACCCACTTAACTTTTAAGGGAAAAAATTGAGTGGCCTGACATCACTAAGTATCAGTATGTGGGTCAACATAAAGTTTACAGTTAGCAGTTCCGAACAACCACATTGGAAAACAATTTGACACTATCTTACAAAATTGAATCTTCTCAGACCTAATAACTCTATTTATAAGCCTATAATTCTACTCCTATATTCTACATGTATTCTCTCAAGCATGTATTCTCAATGCATTAGAAAAGGAAGAAATGAGCCAAAGATAAATATTATTCTTTACATATAGACATATATTAAAAACAAATATACATGCAGTACATAAAAATATGTGCAGCGAAGTTAAAAAAAATGTGCAGCATATTAAAATTTAATTTAAAGAAAAAAGGGGGAGAATGTCCAAAAACCTTTTTAGTGGGGGACAAAGTTTAAAATATTAAAAAAAATACTTCTGGACCTACGAAGTTTAAAATATTAAAAAAGAAAGAAAGAAAGAAACACTTCTGGACCTAAGAGTACAGGATAAGAGACTAGGGCCAATATCTGTGTATAACTATATTTGTATCTATATATATATATTTAGTATATACATACATTTGTGTATTAAGTCACAATACTAAATGCATTTCTAACTAGATCAAGATTAAAAAGTGTGAAAGTAACAAGGCCAGATGACACCTCATAGGCCTTCTTAATTTCTATTTTATAAAAATCTAGGACTCGGGTCCTCCCTAGTGGCACAGCAGGTTAAAGCGCAGAACTGGAAAGCTACCCAGTTTTTTATTTATGCATAAATAAATAAATCTTAAAAAAAGATCTAGGGCCCTCCTTGGTGGCACAACGGGTTAGGATGCAACACTGCAAGCTAGCTGCAGCCACTGCGTGCGAGTTCGATACCCACCCTGGAGGTGACCACATGGCGTGGCAGACTTCTGATCTGCCCACTGCTCCCCTCAGCAGTGTACTTGTTCATCTGCCTGTTCTACTCCCCGCTCTTTCTCTGGTGAAGCCTCTCACCACCCCTATGCCTCTTGCCTGTACCTCAGTTCTCTATGCATAAATCAATAAATCTCTAAAAAAAATATCTAGGAAAGGAATTCCCCACCTTCATGACTCAAGATGTTTCTGTGCATTTTTAATTTTAACTCCTCCCACTTTACTTAAACCATTTTTTGTTCTGAGGAAGCAGCCACTAGTCATTATTTACAGGTATCCTTTAAGTGCAACATAATACCTAAAGGCTACAATCTCCCGAAAAATAGAAAATAATAGGAACAGAAAGCAATATTCTAGCCATTGAAGGAGAGTTGAGAAGGCCTTCTCATAGCCTTACCTTCAGCAGGTTCAGGACTTTCTTGCCAAGATCCAGCTCAAAGTTGGCATAATTAGAACCGCACATGTCATAGATAAATACCAATCCATTCCTCTGAGTTTCAAAACTGTAAAGCAACCATTGAACAAAGACATTTAAAAGTAATAAGGTGGAAGAGGTATGTTGAAAATCTGGGGCAAAACAAAGACACAGAGTATGGGATACATCTAAGACCAAAATAACTGCCACCCTTAACACTGGTCTAATAAGGAGACCTCTTACAAAAAGGGTTTATCTTGGGTATCTGCTATGCTTGTTGTGATACGAGGTCTTCATCCAAGTTCTTAACAAGAACTCCTAGAACCCTTACAATTCCCTAAGAGAGCATAAAGATATCTTTTGTTATGTGGGTGTAGTTACTTTTGGAATCCCCCTAGGTCTCCTAAGGATGAGGATTAAAGGGCTGAACTTTCAGTCTCATTCCTACTCTCACCTCCAGGCAGGAGAAAGAAGCTGAAGATAAGTTCAATCAACAATAGTCTATGTTCTAATCAACCATTATTTATGAAATAAAGCATCCATTAAAAACCCAGAAAGGGCCCTCCCTGGTGGCGCAGCGGGTTAAAGCACAGCACTAAGAAGCATAAGCCACTTCCGCATGAGTTCGATCCCCGCCTGCCCAGGAGGAGTTCCACATGGTGCGGCAGACCTCTCCTGACCCGCCCGCCGCTCCCCTCAGCAGTGTACTTCGTAGATCTGCCTGTTCTGCTCCCCACTCTGTCTCTAGTGAATCCTCTCACCCTCCGCATCTCTGGCTTGTAACCCAGTTCTGTATGAATAAATAAATCTTCAAAAAAAAAACAGAAAGATGGGGTTTGAAGAGCATCTATGGTGTTGGCTCTGTGGGGGTGCTGAGAGAGTCATCTGCACCTCTTTCTCTATTCTTGCTTGCCCTATTGCATCTCTTCCTTCTGTAGGGCTGACCTCTTAACTTATGAGACCTGAAGCAAATGAATGATAGTGTCAGAATTGAGCTGAACCGTAGAACACTGAGCTTATGCCAGAAAATTGCTTGATGCCAGAAAATTGCTTGGTGATATGTGGGGGAAATTTCACATGTTGAACTTGGAATTTTACTTATTGGTATATCTTTATGAAGTACCAAACTCCTAGGTTGAGAATGTTCTACAGCATCTAGTTTATCCAGAATTGAACTTTGAATTTTATTAGTATTTCATGTTCAATTCAAAAAGATTCCTTTTCCAGCTGAAAAGACACTTCTCCAGAGGAAATGCAGATGGCCAACAAGCATATGAAAAAATGTTCAACATCACTTGTAATAAGGGAGATGCAAATTAAAACCACGAGATACCACCTCACCCCAGTGAGAATGGCACATCTTACAACTAGCAACAACAAATGTTGGCGAGAATGTGGAGAAAAAGGAACTCTCCTGCACTGCTGGTAGGAATGCAAACTAATACAACCACTATGGAAAGCTGTCTGGAGGTTTCTCAAACTGCTAAAAATGGAGCTTCCATATGACCCAGCAATCCCACTTCTAGGTATCTACCCAAAAAACACAAAAACACTGATTCAAAAAGACACCTGCACCCCACTGCTGCTTTATTTACAATTGGAAAGACATGGAATCAACCCAAATGCCCAAAAGTAGATGACTGGATTAAAAAGATGCGGTACATATACACAATGGAATATTACTCAGCAATCAAAAAAGATAAACTCATGCCTTTTACAGCAACAATGATGGAGCTGGAAGAGATCACATGCTTAAGAGAAATAAGCCAGAAAGAAAAAGGAAAATACTGGATGGTTTCACTCATAGCATAAAAGACCAAGGTGAAAAAAATAATATAATAATAATGAACAACTATATACCAGAGACATTTTACGGGGGTGGAGCAGGGAATGATATCAAAAATGGGGGCAGGGCTTTCCCTGGTGGAGCAACGGGTTAAAGCACCACATCATGAAGCTCTCCGAAGCCACTTCCACATGAGTTCGATCCCCAGCCCTAGAGGTAACCCACATGGCGTGGCAGATCTCTCCTGACCTGCCTGCTGCTCCCCTCAGCAGTGTACTTTGTCAATCTGCCTGTTCTGTTCTCTACTCTGTCTCTGGTGAATCCTCTCACCCACCACACCTCTGGCCTGTATCCCAGTTCTGTGAGCATAAATAAATAAATCTTTAAAAACAAAAAATGGGGGGCGGGATTGCATGGGATTGTGGTGATAGCACACAGGTGAATTGGTGATGGGAAGTACGTGGGGATAACACTGAGATGGAAAAAGACACAAAATGATGTAAAAATAAACTACTAAAAAAAAGATTCCTCTTCCATGAAGAATCTGATAACTAACCAAAAGCACTACTGTCCTTTACCTCTTTGAAGCCCTTTAAATCTTCCTAAGGACTTTTCTTGTGGCTATTCACTTACTTGTATAGCCATCTGATTCTCCTCGAGGGCGAAAACATGTTCTGTTCACCTCATTACCCCCCAAAAGCCTCTAACAGTCTTTGCAAGCAGGTACATACAATTTTCATAATTGTATGTACTGTATGTAAAAAAATTCATCTTTTTACAATCGAGAAATTGGGGGGGAGGGCACAAAACAATTCCTAAAATCGGAAGTCACAATGCTCTTTTGTATCCTAGTTTTTCTGTATAATCTATTAGAAATTAATTTTCTTTATATTTTCAACAAAATGCAAGGCAAGCAGAAGAATCCATTCCTGAGTAGCATATCAAAACCTCAAATCTCTAATTCTGAGGTAGATCCACGCTTTTCCAGCATTTTAGTTTCAAATGGCTCTTGCACATTACAATTAGTGTTAAAACTTGACCCTGTTTTTCAGGACCCACAGAGACTATGATTCATCAAGATCAAAAATGCTGTTAAACAAGTGGCACAATTACTGAGTAGATGCACCATGTCTAGAGAATTCCCATTTCTTCACAAGCTTAAATTCAAAGAATTACAGATTTTCCCCTCCACAGCTCCAGCCTGTGGCAGAGGACTGGAAAAAAAAAAAAGTAGCAGTGCCAAGGGAAAGAGATTTAATAAGAAATGCTGGTACATAATGATGCAGGATCTATATTCCCAGACAGGAAACTGTTCATCCTGTGAAGGTATATGAAATAAATACCAATGTAATAGAATTTTCAATGTTCTGGGTATAGACTACGAGACTTACATAGTTAATTTCCTACTAAGAATAACTGTTTCCCTACTGAACTTAACTCCTAAATTAGAGGCTACCAGAGATACCAAGAAATTTAAAACAGTCTCTGACATTTATTTCAAAATAATTGAATGTAGGGGATGCATGAGGAACTATGGATGAACAGGACTATTACAGATAACTGAAGATGATGGATGGTGGTTATGTGGAATTTTATGATCTCATTTCCTATTCACCTACAGATATGGAAATTTTCCAGTATATAAGAAAGCTCTTTGCCTTCGTGTCGCTTACAATCCTGTAGATGGGAAATAAAAAACAGCAACAGCATGATAAATGTCATCACAGCCATGTATAACTGAACACAAATTAATTGGTAATCATAACAAATGCTATTAGAGTAAAATGAATTTTATCTGTGACAAGTTAGAATGCTGAGGGAGTCGGTCACAGAAGTTAGGACTTAAAGAAAGTGCAAGATTTAGTAAAGTTCAAGGCAAAATGGCAAAAACAAGAATTTCTACCAACACAGAATATTTTTCTCGGAGGGAAGGATTCACTATATTTATCTTATATGTGCCTTCTGAATAATGAGGGTTTTTTTTTTTTTTTGAGGTAGTTATTTATTTTAATGGTACATTAAATTTAGTAGTATGTTTTCTGACAGGAGTAAAAAAATAAAACAAACCATGAGTAATAATTAAATTCTTTGACAAAATAAAACAATTAATCTGGAATATATTTCTTTAGGCTAATTTTATGAAGAATACATCCTGTAAATCTTTACATTACAGTATAATGACTCTAGGCCCAAAATAAAGGAAATTTCTCAAACAGAAGTTTGGGCATAGAAACAGTTTCAGTTGAAAAATAATTGCTCTAAGCAAGATCAAGGAGCTAACCCTTGAATGTGACTTTATCATATTTTTTTGTATTAGAAGTGATTGTTACTCATTTTTTTTCTATTTATTAATATTAGTTTGTTTTTACATCATTTTGTGTCTTTTTCCATCTTAGTTGTAATCCCTGCGGGCTTCCCATCATTTGGTGATTCCCACCAAATCACCCATGTGCCATCATCATAGTCCCATGTACTCCCCACCCCCATTCCCCACTTCACCCCCATAAAATGTCTCTGGTAAATAGTTGTTCATTATTATTATTTCACCCCCCTCCCCTGGCCCTTTATGCTCCTGCTATGAGTGAAACCATTCGGTATTTTTCTTTTTCTTTCTGGCTTATTTCACTAAGCATGATCCCTTCCAGCTCCATCCATGTTGCTGCAAAAAGCATGAGTTTATCTTTTTTGATTGCTGAGTAATTGAATAATAAGTGTTTTTAAGAAAGGGACATCATAAAAACAAATTTTAATTCTGTTGAACTGTGTGGCCTTCCTGCTTCCTACTAGAAATGCAAGTTTTGGCAGTGCTATGCACTGACTCTCCCCCCCACCAAGGAGGAGAGTAAATACTGGATTTTCTGGAAAGTCATTTACTTATTCCCCTGAGCAAATGCAGTTTTTTAAAGGAACCTATATTTTGAAAAGTATGCCTGCACACCAAACTGGGAAGAAGAACTGGGCAATTCCGTATTTCTGCTTGCCACTGAAACTACACATCTTCTCTCTCCTTAGTAACTTCTCCTTTCCAGAATAAGGCTGTGTATAAACTGGCTGTACTCTACTAAGCATCAACAACAAAAACTAAATATTGTGAAAGTAACATTAACGAGGCAGTTAGGAAGTGAAGGAGACAGAGAGTCCTGTTCAGACAATTCCTTGATTGTTCCCATTTTGCAAGTCTGCAATGTGGCTAAAGCTGTACATACCTGTCTCCCACTACATCAGCCTTCTACTTCTAGTCCAGGCCAGCCAATGACACTGACAGCAATAATAAACTGTCAATGGCAATTACCAGAGGAAAAAGGAAGTATGGCAAAAAGAAAACACAGTAGGGAACAAACAGCTCTGGCCAAGAGTGAAGAAACTGAAATCTTACACATAGTTGGACCAATAAGTGATAAATGCAAAAAAGTTATTCAACTTCTTGGAACTACAGATCTTTGTTTGTAGAATAGTAATTAATGCCATTTTCCTTGCAGAGGGAGGGAGAGATGACCTGAGTTTTAAATAAAAAGTTCTTTCTATTATGCACCTATTTGTAAAAATGATTTCGCTTGATTTTATACCTCTGGATTATTTTCTCCTGAATGTAGAGTCTCAAAATCCTGAATTAAATGACTTTATTCCTGTTTTACAGGCTAAGAAACTGAGGCCCCAAAAGTCTTGAAAATCAACATCTTGGTGTGAATGACCCAAAAGAACCAGCAGAGGTTTCCTTTCACTCTCTTTTAATAAGTAATTATCAGTACACTGCAGATTACTATTAGCTTTCTAAATTTCTGTTATTTTGAAAGAAAGTCAACCAGGTAAAGGTACAGAAAACCCACCATCTGATAATACCTGGAAAATGCCAGGCTCTTCAGGACATAGAATATTTTCTATTTAAAGCACTGTGTACTTCCCAGGGCACATCCTAAAAGCCTGGCAAAGGCACTGCTGAATTTAATCAAATTGAGAACTGTCATGGCCCAATCTGGTCCTAGACTACCTAAAAGATAGTCTCTATGCTCACCTATCCACAGCTCGGTCTAGCAAGTAAAACAGAGCCTGAAGGACCACATGCTGGACTGACTTATGGGGATGATGCAATCTGGCAGTGAATAGGGCGATGGAGGCTCCAGTTGGGTCACGAACATTCTAGAGAAAATAAAACAAGAACTATTTAGAAATCCAATAGACAATCATAACAATCATTAAGCTTCTTAAATCCTGACGAAAACATTTGATTGAAGAGAAAAACTGGTGACAACATTTCTCTAATTTACATCAATGACTCTAGCCAAGAATACTTCTTTCAGCTCAAGCCTGATTCTTTCAATACTCTCTGGTACTGCAGTAGGAAAAAAATGTATACAATAATTTTCAACTGCTGAGATTAGGGATGGTTCTCCACCTTGTTAATATCACAGGAAAACCACTGACTACATAACCACGACTTTCATGTATTACTTTAAAAGCATCACTGTACACGTAGCTGAAAGGTTGCAGTCTCTAATCAGAGAGAGCTTACATGTACCGTATATCCAGCCCAAAGAACATGACTTAGTGGACCAAAGACTTAGCCTTAGTGGACCAAAAAAGATACTGTCTAAATCTATAGATTTAGAGTAATTGATTCTCTAAGATTTCAACTACTGTGAGAATAACTTCTGACAAACTGTATGTACCCCATGCTGATACTCTATCGATTCAAGATAAGGTATCTAGCAACAAAATCCAAAAATGACAAAAAGGAAGAAGGGTCCATAAAGACTAGATGGGGCCCTTGCTGGTGGGGAGACGGGTTAAAGCCCAACACTATGAAGCTATCCACAGCCACTGCAGCAGGAGTTTGATCCCTGGCCAAGGAGGTGACCCACATGGCATGGCAGACCTCTCCTGTCCTGCAAGCTGCTCCCCTCAGCAGTATAGTTCAGTAGATCTGCCTGTTTTGCTCCACACTATGTCTCTGGTGAATCAGCTCACTCCCGCACCTCTGGCCTGTACCCCAGTTCTTATATGTGTAAATAAATAAATCTTTAAAAAAAAAGACTCACTAAGACAGTGAATTTTCCACTAAGGATCTCAGAACGGAGAGGTTCCTCATGAGGTTTCAGCTTCACAATGCCTTCCTTTCTTCGTGTTTCCTAAAATAAAGCATAACAAGATAAATTAATACGAAAATACTATATACCCTGAACAGCTTTAAGTAAACATCAGATTTGAGTTAAGGGACTTTAGAAATCAACTAAGTAAATCATAAATTCCTAATCAATGCCACCTACCAACCCCACAGGTTGATTCCTTGGAATCAGTGACACTCCAACCCTAAAGACTAAGAATTACGAGTGCAGAGTAGAGTTCTTAAAGAAGCAGCGCCACTGACACTGCACCAGGTATTAAAACATGGCCCCATAACCATCTGGAAGTACACGTCTTCAGACATCCCCCAGGCTTGGGCCTTTCCCATGCTAAACAGAAGCCATTCTTCCCAGTGTGATAACATCTCCAACAACAGCTAACATGACCTCATTTTTCTCATCTCCAAAACCAGATTTTCTCCCTCACAGTCCACAGCAATCTCCTTTCCTCCCAATCTACCCACTGGGAGATCCTAAGACAGTGATGAGGTCATTCCTGACAGAATCCAGAGGTCATTTTTCAATTCTCCTTTTACAAGAAATTATTGCTCACATACCCTTTGTCCAAGACTTTACTTCTATCTTTGAGAATTTTCTCTCAGCTTTCCTATTTTTTTCAACCACTCCTAAGTTTCATTAGTGGCCCTTTGTTTACTCAATTCTCACACAATTCATCAACTTAATTCACTTATTCATTATCATTATACTTGTAGAGCAACTATTATGAACTAAGTACTAGGAACACCCTGGCGAATGAAACTAACTAGGTCTTTATTCTTTCCAAGCTACTCCTAGAATTGAATTCAAATATCTTCAGAGGGAAGACAGCAAGTGCAAGAGTATTAGTGCTGGGCTCTTTGGAAAGCAATGCTCTACCTAAAGCTTCCAAATTCAACTTTTAAAATAATAAAAAATAATTTGAGGCGAAGTTGTACCCTGCACATCTTCATATTCCTCACAGTGTCCTACGATTTCACCCATGCCCCAACCTCAATACTGAAGCTACCTAGGTCATCCCAACTTCTAGTCTAGATTTCTTTACTGAACCCTAGCTGCATATTCCAGCTGCTTAGAGGCCATGTCTATTGGCACATCCCATGGCTCGTCCAACTGCTGAATGAGTGAATAGATATCAAACAAAATGATCCACAAGATAGGTGTCAATGAGTTTGGTCTTAAATTAATACTAATGCTTCTTATCCTCCTCCTTTCTGTTGTTTTAATTTTGGGAGATTTGTTTTATCTCTTCATAAGAATTTTCTAGCTCCAAGGCTCTTGGGGATATTGATCACCATTTGGGTTTTTTTTTGTTTTTGTTTTGTTTTTGTTTTTGCTTTTGCTTTTTACTGTTTATAACAAATATTCCACATCCACGACTCTGCCCATCAGAAGTTCTTAGAACATGATGCCATCCACCTTGGCCAGTCAGAGAACAGAGTCACTAGATGCACCCATCCTGTGAAGCCACTTTCATTTTTTGTAGAATAAGGGAAAACACTCAGAGAACCACTGAGTGTGCAGAGTACGGCAGAGAACAGCAACACAGAAAGCCCTGATACCACAGGCCTGGCCCACCCGAAGCCACGCACTCTGTAGGAGTGGAACAACTCTACTGCTCGGAGCACATCAAACTTCCGGGCCATGAGGAACTTGACAGCAACATCCCAAGACAGAGGGGAAACGTTGTACTGATCTGTCCACTTGTTGATCTCCTCGAGAAATTGCTTGGTGGCCTATTTGACAAAGAAGGTAAAGAATAATTAGTAACTAAAAAACAAATTTATGCAAACAAAAACCAAACAAGCAAGAAAAAAAATATTCTTTTCCCCAAACAAGTCTGAACCTATGGTTTACTAAATGGAACAAGGAAAGATAGAAGTTAGAAACAGATCTGAAACTAGAAATAGTTAAAGTTTGTACAACTAAATGAGGTCAAAGCTAAGTTCAGAGAGCAGCGATTAGAACAGGGATGCATGAAGAAATAATGAGGGGAAGACCAAAGCTCCCAAATGAGATGCAAATTACAAGTCCAAAGCAAAAGAACAGTTTTGTGTTTTTGTGTTGCTGCTTTTTACAAGGAAAAAAGTTAGCTAGGCCCTCTGATGTGTTGTTGCATAATACACAATATAGCACAGCAGTCTCAGCTGCTGCTCTTCTTCCGCAAGCCAACTAAACACAGCAAAACAATCAGAAATTGGTTTTGGTTTTAGAATTAGCATTATTTTTGGTGAAGAATTTAGCAACTTTTTCAAAAGGTCAAAAGTTCTTTGTGCTGCCACAGGACCTCTCTGCACTTTGCGTGGCTGTCCAGAAACAGGACACCCTGCTCAGCATCATTAACAGACCCACTGGCTGGCTAGCAGTTTGTGGGGGGTGGCAGGGGAGCCTTTTGCTGGAGTGGTGAGAGATGGGGGAGAGAGAGGGAGGGGGAACTTTCATTTGTCTGGTCTCCAATGAGAAGTCTGTTCTTAGAATTGTTCCAATCTCTTGATGTGCTTTTTAACCTCTCTCATCCTATTTCTCCATGTTACAACCAATTTCTCCTCTAACCAAACCACTCTTCTGCTTCTTCATTTTAGCATAAGATTTACATCAGGATATTTTTGCATACATATCCTAAATTACTAAATACTTTCTATATAACTATTTGATCTCTTTCATTCAAAAATTTTTTCTTGTGTTAGTCCAAAATGTAATCAACTTGATGAGAATTCTGAATTTAATGGATTAAAAACAAAACAATCTACAGTTAAGATATTATCAATATCTGTGCTACAAAGTATAAAGAATAAAAAAATGTGGTTTTGCATTAATTCAAAGGGATACCTGCACCCCTATGTTTACTGCAGCACTATTTACAATAGGTGAAACCTGGAAACAACCCAAATGCCCAAAACTAGATGACTAGATCAAGAAGATGTAGTATATATACACAGTGGAATACTACTCAGCAACCAAAAAAGGTAAACTCATGCTATTTGCAGCAACATTAATGGAACTAGAAAGGATCATGCTCAGTGAAATAAGTCAGAAGGAAAAATACTGAAGGGTTTCATTTATAGGAGGAATGTAAGAGAATCAAGTAAGACACAGGAGGGGGAAAGTGTATTGTGACTACAATACAAAACAAAAACAGACAATTATAAACCAGAGCTATCCTAGGGGGAGGGGGACACAGGGAGATCAAAAGAAGGAGGGAGGAATGTGGGGCACTATGGTGATGACAGGTGGGCGAAGTGGAGGAGGGAAGTAAACACTGTTTTAAAATGAATAATGTAAAGATATATAAATTAAGAAAAAAACGTGGTTTTGTTTCAAATTGGTACAATTTGAAATAATTTGGTACAAGACCAAATTATACGACCATAGGTAAGATAACTCTTTGCTTTTTTTTTCCACTGAAAAATAAGGGGAGGAAGGGTAACAGCAATGACCCACTTAAAAGTCTTGGCAACAAGTCCTAACTGGAAAATAGAATCCAAATCACTACATACATATTTAAACAACAAACTAGAGAGCCTCACAACAGAGAACCTGACTCATTTCCTGAATTCTAAGAAAGAAGAAAGGTACTTCATAAACCAGAGTAAAACCTGAGAGACTTGAGGCTGCCCCTGAGCTTTCGAACCTCCCAAAATAGAACCTACACACTGGAAAAGGAGAGAACAGGCAAAGTACATAAGTAACGGGGTTAAGAAATAAAGGTCATGAAGAGAAGGTTTCAGACAATCATGTTGGCCCAGAAATAGCTGAAGCCAGACCTGGGAAATAAATCCCCAAAAAAAAAGACAGTAGGACAAACTTAGAATGCGCTAACAGAAAACAGTTTGAGTTGTCTCTGCAGGGTGAGTGGCCAGCATCAGAATGAAGAAAAGATGGAAGAGAAAAGAAATAAATACAGAAAGACCCCAGAAACAAAACTACAGGCAGTTTGGAAGGTCCCACGGAGATTTTGTAAAGGGTGATTTTTTTTTTTTAAAGATTTATTTATTTGTGCATACAGTACTGGGATACAGGCCAGAGGCTCAGGGGTGGCGAGAGGCTTCACCAGA